GCTCCTGAACCTGTTCTTTAGCCAATCCCTAGATTCAAAGGAGAGGTTACAAGTGATAAATATATTTACACATTTCTTCTCTGTGTACTTGCTGCTGACAGACACAGCCAGCAGCAAAACCTTGGTCAGCTACTCAGCTGGTGTATCAGTGTCCCAGGGTTCAGGCTGATGCTCTGTACCAGCCTTGCCACAGCTTCACCCACAATGTGGCCAGGTTCCATATTCTGTCTAGGACTTAAAATTACTGCCCCAAATGAGCCCCTGACATTCTGCACTTAATGCTTTAGCTTTCACATGTAAGCTTAGGTAAGGCCTGAGTACTTCCATAAGGAGGACACAATTCTCCTTTTAATTTAGGCTGTTTGAGTTCTGTTTATGGAGTCTCTTAATTTTGGTCAACTGCTTTGCAAACCTCTGGTAAAAGGCACTGGAGAGGTTCAGATTATCTGCAGCACAGCTCCCTTCATGGCATGTTCTTCCCTTTCACAATACACAGCTTCCCCGTGCATCAAGCAGCAGTTCTTTGTACAGAACATGAAAAATCTGGAGTGAGGAGGTCAGGCAGGCAACCATCTCACTAAGCCACACACTTTGGCTTACTCTTCTTTCTGGCTCCTCACATCAACTTCCTGTAGCAGTCTGGGAGATGGAGTCGGAGGGACTCAGAATACTGGAGGGATTATTTTCTTCAGTTATTTTCTTCTCCACTATGGGTACAAAATGCGTATTGCTCGGCAAGATTCCTCTTCTTCCACCCTTTCTGAACTTGCTACTCTCAGGTTCCCCGTGCTCCCGCAAAATTTCCAGAGTCCAGGGCTTTAGGATTTGATTGCGACAGCAAAATTCATTCTCTGAAGTGGGAGGTTTTTTTGCACACAGGCTCCTTGTAGGTGCTCTGGAGGGCACCATGGTAGGACTTTGTTACCTAATGGCAAAATCTCAATACACCTCCATCTGATGTAAGCAATTGCACAATTTGGCTCCTCCAGGAGAATGCTCAAACTGAACAATGGTCTATCACAATAGTTGTGGGCCAGTCATGGGAAGAAGCACACTGGACAACAATGCAGGTAGAGGATAACAGGGTATAAGATGAGTTACCAGACAGCCAAGAATAATACCAGGTCTGGCACACTACTGATGATAAACATCACTCCATTTCATGTGAACTTGTCTGTGGAGCAGGGTCGTTTGCAGATACCACCCTTGGAGGACTGCAGAGACAAAGCACGTTTTCCCCCACCTCTACCTTTTCCCAGAAAGAGAAAGCCACAGACTCAAACACATAGGAACCTTTCCTTGAGCTAAACCAGAAAGAGCAGAGGGAGAGGGGTCAGAGAAAAAAAAGGGGAAGAGCTACACTGTCTGCAGCCACCTGTTATTATGAAATACATTATTAAATAATTTATACATTTGCTATATATGTAATTCCAATTGCTCCTTCAGTTCTAAGTGGATGCAATGTCCTTAACCTTTTTCACTTTCCCCCTCCTCACTCCCTTCCAGCTATGCCAGGTAAGAATGCAAGATTAGAAGAGATGTTATTGAGAGGCACTATCCTGTAGACCATCAGCTACACAGGTAATGACATAACCTATTACCATAATGACCAAAAAATATATAATTAGAGCAGTAAAACTACCCTGAGTGGGGATGGCATCCCCCCCAACTTTGTTCCTATTGCCTTTCCTTCCCAACCTCCTGCTCTTCAAAACACGCTTACATCATTTATGCTTCCACTGAGAAAACGTCTCCTAATATAAGGAGACCATCTAGTTTCTCACCCTCTCTCCTCAGCGTAAAAGGCCTCTGGTTTTAGATGTATGGTACTGTCAGTGGTCTAGCATTTTTTTCCTCACCATTACCCTCTGCACAACCATACTGCTCTCCCTGTACCACCCACGCACACAACTTCAAATCAGCTATTATGTGACTAAGCAGATAGTGACAAACACTTTCATCCCTTTATCCTCACAGGATTTCTAGAGTGAGTGCTCATTTTATTATCAGACTGCCAAAAGACACTCAATTCTTTTTCATTCTGTGATGGACACTCCTGTATCTTGAAGTACAGCTCCCCTTGATACACTCTGGACTTAGGGCTATAACACCAGAAGAGGGTGCTGCTTGTTCCTTCCTAACCCTCTGTACAGCTTCCTGTTCTGTGGATGTGGAGATTGTCCTCTGCAAACTTGATGCACAAAAACACTTGGTCCTCCATGACTAAGGGGTCCTGCTGGTCTATTCTGGAAATGGGGGCTCTGTAGGAGTTTTGATTAAACATATTATGTCAGCAGAGGCAAACTAGTCTACACAAGGCTTCATTCAACATTTAAAGCATGCACCTCAGGGAGCAGAGCAGTGAAGTGGCAACTTTGGCAAGTGAAGGTTACACCAATAAACCCTACTCTTCTCCCAACCTGTTGCTAACTTCGCCTATGGTCTTTGGGAAACAACTGCAATAGCAGCAATCTGGTGGTGAGCAGGAATAAAGTAAGTTGGTATTCGTAGGCAGCTCTGTTGATCCAACAGTAGGTACTGTTTGGTTGCTGCACAGCTGGAACAAGGAAATGTCTGGCTGAGGGACACGGCAGTCACTAGGCCAAATTCAAAATGTAACATAAGGAAATATAAATGACGTGCTAGAGTCTATAATATATGCATGTGAAAGACTGAAAGATTGTGTGCAATGAAGCAGCTCAGACTCCCTTGAGCCTCATCTCTTAATTTGGTTCACCGTTCTCGTAGAGAGGTATAGTCACCTCCAGGGAGAAGAGCTGAAAGGAAGATTCCCCAACTCCTCACAGTTCCTGCCATTGAGAAGCCAATGCTCAGCCCACACGGCTGTCTGCCTGTCACTGTTCTGTGGGAGACATTCTTCAAGGAAGCAAATAAAATGCAAATTGCAAGACTATGTTAAACTGACAAGCTTAAATACAGTACTATGCACCTAGGCATTTGCCAATAGCTGTTGATTTCATCCAGAACATTTCACAGCTACACAAAATTCCCTGCTGGACAACTCAGCCATGATTGCAACTGCCAGAGCACACCTAATCCACTTAAAGAAAGCTATCAATAATTCTTCATACAGCACAATACCTTGAGAAGGCCATTTCTTGTGTGACCATGAGTTTGCTGCTTAAAATGGACAGAGAACTTCAAACTAAAGCTGGTAAAGACCTTCGCTTACATTTCTCCCATTTTGTAGTTGAAATTTCAAACCCCAAATCCGCTGCTTCCTAAGACTCTAGTTAGTCTGCTCACAAAGAGAACAAAGTTTTCACAATTTTTTGGCCCACTAATTCAAGCTCAGGCCAACAGAAACAGTACAACCCTCTGACCATGTCAAGCTGCTTTGTGCATTATCCCTCAATCTATGGTTTCAAAGCAAGTTACAAGAAACGCACAAGAAGAGCCATGTCCATTTTGCAACCTATAATTTTTAAATATAACATTTTATTGCTTAGATGGTTTGATACAGAACAGCTTTACTTTTATTTTGAATTTGGAAGTACTGTACAACTGAATAAAAAGAGGAATAAAAGTACCAAAAACAAATGTGTGATTCTCTGTTCATGTGGCATAAACCAGTCTTGTACACAACTTGTAGCAGCAGTTTAAGTTCCCTTTAGAAAAATATGAATTCTACACATTTATTATTGTTTCCTGCGTGGGCTGAAATCACTAGAATTAAACTTCCTTCTTGAATAGAGAGGGGTAGAGAAAAGAGACACACACACAAGGAGAGAGAAAATTATGAATCGTTCTGAAAATGGAATCAGACTGTCCCATAGCCCCAAAAGCTACTTCAGAATAGCCACAAGCCTAGATTTTTTAAATTTTTTTTTTGCGCTTTCACAGTCAAGTGCTTAATGTAGTGATTGAACTTTCTCAATGTTAAGTCCACTGCAACTCAGACAAGAATTTCAGAAGATCCATTTTTGTAAAAGCCCTGAGAGAGGAAAATAAAAAGATCCAAACCAAAAAAAAATGTATAGAGACAAATTAGCTGAACATGCAAACTAAGCATAAGATTCACCCATAGTTTAAACATGTTATAAATTTCACAGTTTAATATTGGGGGGAAAAAAACAACAACAACAACAACAACAAAAATTCTCAGTCAAACTCAACTAATAAAAATGTCATTAAAATGTGGCAAGACCTTATACTCTACTAGGATATAGATAAAGGCTAAATAAAGCTTTAAATCAATAGTGATTATTGCTAGCAGATGTCCCGGCAGGCTGCTGGGAATTGATTACTTGCTACATTGTTCTGCAGCATATAGTTTAGTAATGGCTTCTCCCCCACAATATTGCGCAGTTTAGTGTGGAGAGTTGCAAAAAAAACAAACCAAACCAAAAAAAACCAAAAAACCAACAAACAACAAAAAACCAAAATACCCAAAATAATAATAATTATTATTATAATAATTATAATATAATAAAAATTAAGGGATGTGTGAACTGGTTTTAACTAAATAGGACGCACCTGGGTAGAGTTTTAAATGAATCATTGGTTCTGATATTTTATTTATCTGGAGTAATTTTGTTTCAAAACTGGTCCAAACATCCCTAGTTGTTAAAAAAAATAAAATCACATATACCTCAACCATTTTTTTCTTATTCTATTTGCAAGAACATTATTCAACAACATTTTTCTTCCTTTGAGTTCTGGGCAGTTGGATTTCAGTCTCTAGAAATGTGGGGAAGTCAGAGAGAAAGAGAGGGAGAGAGAGATACATATATATTAGCTATGATAGGGATTTGAGGCCCACACCTTCCTTGTCTAATGAAAGTAGAACAAAGCGGTTTTGCAGGGGGAAGGGAGGATCACAGTGTGAGAGAACAGGCTGACGGGGTGGAACAGCACAGTGATGCTCCGGCAATACTATGGCTCTGTCTGTCCCAGAGGCAATAAAAACAACAAGAACAACAACAAAACGCTGAGCATCCCTAAAAATGCACAGCTACAGTAGGAGACATTTGGCGTAACCCCTTAAATCCTGGTGGTTGGAGTATCACCAGTGGCTGGCAACATGGAGGTCTGCGGAGAAATTCCAACGCTCAGCATTTCAAGGGGGTTAGTTTACTGATATGAAATTTAGACACATGCCTTAGTCTTCAAGCATCAACCCCAAAATCTCAGGAAGAAAAGGTTTGTTTGTTTTTTAATTATGTAATTGATTTTATTTCATTTAATTTTTAACATATATTTGTAGCTTTATTACCAGTAGTATTTTCTTGCTTTAGAACATGACGGCAAGCAAGATCACGGTACGGCTCGCATTTCTTTCTTGCTTTCTTTTGACTGGAAGACTGAATGAATTTGCTCTTTAGTAACAAGTGTCATCACTGATGCAATCTCCACAAAATGCATATTGTATTTGCAGTGCCTATCTCATGCACTTGGAAGGTTTTTTCACAACTCCCTTCCCCCGCATGCTCTCCTTCCCTCCGTTCTCTCTCCATTTCTCTCTCTCACTCTCATACACGCGCACACACATGGACAGACACACACCCACCCATCCACCACTAGTGAGATGTTCCCCTGCACATTTTGGATGATAACTTGCTGGCCTCCATTGGATTCTCCAGTCAGAGGAAGGGTTTCATTTGAAGTACAGTAAAAGAGCTGCAACGTGAGAGAGGAGCTGGTGAAAACTTGAGTCAAAAACATTTAAATGGGGCTTCCAAGCTGCATTGTAGATCTCCGTGGGCAAATATTGCCCATTGGTTTCTGCTGACTGCAGAGACGAGCAAACTGATGAATTTATAAAATAACAATAAAATAATAATAATAATAATAATATACCGAAGCAAATCAAACATATATAACAGCCGGTGCGTAATTTCCATAGGTTAAGTTGCTATGTAACTCTTCTCTGTATACTCAGTCCACAATGGCCAGGGGAAAAAAAACCAACCCTAGTTACTAGAATACCATTTCTAATGCTGAAAAGTGGAAACAAGTATGAGATTGAAACTGTTTCCTGCTTTTGGCTTGAACCACTTTGAACACCTTCAACTGCCCTGTCGTTAACATCTGGAACTGGATTAATGCTCCACCATGTGGCAAATGCAAGAACATCAACTGAGGAAAAAAAAAGAAGATCTCAATGTCTCATCTATATTTCCTCTGATTAATTTGTATGAAATTCACATAATTTTCTTCCAGTTATTGGCTGCAGTATCCAAGGGCTTCCCTACCCACTGCCCCCATTTCCAGCTCAGAGAACAAAACACAGCGACTCTCACAGATATACAGGAACAAGTTCACACACACCAATACAAAAGGTAATATTAATGCTTAAATGAAAAGGGTCCTCTCCAAATAATTCATTAAAATATTAAAAAATCATTTTTGAAAAAATTCTATCATACCAAAAGATCTAATAAAGTAGTAAGGCACTCAAATCAGTATATACTGTAGTCTCTTGCATTATTATACTGAAAGGCATATGGCACAGACTCCAGTCTGCCATAACTCTCCCACATCTGAAGGGCACTCTTACAAACCACTCCAAAAAAACTTGCTCTGCTGGCTTTAGTTTGTGTGCTGGGATAGGTCCAATTTCATAGCAAGTCATTCAATTCCCAAAAGCTGAGGTGCACTGTCTGCAGAGGCAAGAATGTGATTCATGGGAGATTTTTTATTGTGCATCTCCAGCAAGTCCTGAATGAAACCCGAAGGTCTCTCATGATCAGAGTTCCCCCGTGATTCCTGATCTTTCGGGATCTGTTTTTGTGCATTCTTGCTGGACTCTGCAAGGCAAGTGCTGGTTATTCGTCCACTGCTTCTCTCCTCTTTGCAAAGAGACTCCTTCGCTGCATTGGCCTGACTTTCTTTTCGGCTTCTAGTGACAGATGAAGAGTTACCAAGGCCTGCAACGGAGTCACACTCATTTTCTGAGATGGGGTTAGTGCCACTGTGGCTAGACTCATTCTCACTGTCTTCTTCACACCGAGACTGGATTTCTTCTTTGTCACTCTCCTTGCCATGGTTCCTGGCATTCTTGATCTTCTGGTGTATGCGCTGGTGACGAACCAGGCTGTGTTTCAGAGTGAAGGTCCGTTCACAGGTCTGACACTTGTACGGTCTCTCCCCTAGGACAGAATTAAGACTGAAATTGAATTGCAAGTTGATACATTCATTTCCTTTTCTCTTTTTCAGGCGTGCAACTGTTCTGAATAGCAGAAATTCAGCAGCCACATCAGCCATAGTCGCCTTATTGATACAGCTCTGATTTTTGGTTTGTTTTATCGTGTGCCAGTAAATACAGATATTGCTGGGGCAGAGATGAGAAAATACAGATAAAGGCTAAGGATTTGTAGATGTCTGGTGTCGTTTTGTATTATGAAAAAGACAGCACGGCAAAGCAGTGTAATATGTATATGCCAAAGTGCGCAGAGTAATTAGCCAAGGAATAGTGCATAAATAATATTGCAAATTCCATCTCCCAGCAAGTCTCTGGTAGGCTAGAATGATTGTGAGTGGCTAATTTTACTTCGGGGGTCTCAATTGCATGCCTTTTTGCATGTGCTGCTAGGAGAAAGTCTGCAAGAACCCCTCCATATTCAAATTGGTCCTGACACACAGATTTTTAGTGCTCTCATATATTTCTTGTATTTAGTTTAATCCAAAGTTAAATGCAGGATTGTTTTCCACGTGTCAGGCTGCCTACTACTTCTGTATGACTGCTACTTCACTGGTAAGTATTGAGGCATTCCAAAAACTGCTGGAGACTGTAAAGTCATCTGTTTCACAGTGATTTGCTTACATCAGTAAACCTTTTTGCCCCAAGAACCGGATGAGGGGTGTGGGGCTGGTCTGCAAGTAGGACCAGACCCTGTATGCAGGGCCCTGGGGGCCCTATGCCACCTCTGCCTGGTTCTACACATGGGGATCGGGCTCCAGGGGCCCTTCACCACTCCTGAGAGCCAGGATCCAGCCCAGTAGTACCTTGTGTGCCCCAACTAGTACACAGGGCCACAGTCCATGGGGCCCCCTGCAGGCTAGATAAGGCACTGGGTGGCTGGATCTGACCTGCAGGCCAGGGGTTGTGCACCCCAAGTTTATACCATCATTTGGGTAGGTGTATTAGTAATATGTTACTATTCACAGAGCAGGGTAAATCCACAGTGTCCATACCCTTTCGTTCACAGCTTTTCTGTATGTGGAATGAGGAAGATGTGCCCCGTTAACACGGGCAGACCAAAATGACAAAGCCAAACAAGAATCGAGAAAACATTTCTCTCCCAGTCATGGTGGAAGAGTGAATTTTCCACATACAAATTACTAAAGGGAACCTGCTTGAAGTGGACTCTGTGACAGAACTTGATCTTTTGTGAGGCACAAAGAGGGTATCATGTCACTGCTTCAATGTGCAAATAGCAGGCCTAAGCTTCTGGGTTTTAATCAGACCATGAATAACTCCACTATTAGACAACTACCATGAGAGCTGACAAAATATTTTCAATGAAAGATTTAAGATGGTTTTTCTTTGTCCATTTTTGCAAAAACTGTGTGCGCGCGCGTTTTAATCAGCTTACAGACGAGTTGATTTAGAGGCAAAACTAAGTTTTCTGGGGGGTGGAGAATGTCTTCAACTTTTTCTAACCAGGCTTAGTTTCAGTTCTCCTATCTCCTTGTTCTCAGGAACTAGCAAGTGTTGGCCAACCTTTTTGGCAGGCATGCCACAAGGTAAGCCTCACACCCTCCCTGAGTATCACTCCAATCCCCTTCCTCCTGATCTGCTGCTTTGCTTTCTGCTTCCTGCCCAAAATGTTCCTGTGTTCTCTGCTCCCCCTTGATCCATCACGTGCCACACACAGACTACACTTGTGCCACATGTACCATGGTGGGTTGGCCGCTCCTGGATTAAACTCAGGAACAAGCTGCAGGCACTGTATGCTGTACGCAGCAGATGAGCAAGTAGCTTGCTTGGTTCCAAGAATATCTCCCTATATACAAAATATTTAAGTGCTTTCCCAGGTACAAAGTAATTCATAAAAAGGTTAATACAAGGTAAAGATACTTAAACCTTAGTACTGACCTACTGCCTTGAAGAACCTGCAATACTATACTGCTTTCAGCATTATTTAGTCTTGCATGTCCGTTTGCAACTATTAAATAAAAACAGCTTAATAATGCAATTTGACCAAGATACCATCTTGTACAAATACATACATGACAAAGCAACTGCTTGGAGCTGAATTTTCACTTACACTAAAGCTCCATTTGTCCTGGGAGTGTAAAAAAAAAAAAAGAAAAGAAAAGAAAAGGAAAGAAAAAAACTCTGAAATGATTTTAAATTTCATTTGATGTATACAAACTTTAAGATCTTATTAAACTGGCAGGATGGTGAAAAGGGGCCCTACTGTTACTGAGATGGGCCCTTTCCTAGAATATAACTCTGTATCTACATTTTGGTCACTGCTCACCCTGCATCTGTGAATCCATGATCAGGGGAAACGAGAGAGGAAAACAAGAGTTCAAATCACAGCAAAATCCCACCAAAATCATAATTTCTGGACTTTTCTTTTTTAAAGAATGCAAGGATAGGTACTAGCCTTATGTTTAAACTGCTCAAAGCAATGGCTTGCACCAGACTTAGAGTAAACAATACAATAATAAACTTGGGTGCATTCTGCACTGGGAGAGAGATAGGCTGGAGATGAAAACACAGATCCGCAAATGACCCTCCATTTGTACAGGTTTTCATTGCTCTGCCCTGCACCTCAGTCCCCAAACATTCTTGCTACTCTGACCGTAATCTTTTAAAATTAAGGGTATCTTTAAAAAAGAAAAAAAAATGAAACCAAACAACAACAAAGCCTCTGAAAAAACAGAAATCATCTCATACGGCATTTTATCATAGCAATCAGAAGGAAAAATGTGCAATACTCAAGAATAGTCCTCATTTGAGAGAGAAGATGCAGGTGATTAAAGACAGTTTTAAAGAAGCAAGTGGTAGTGCAACTATTTACATTTACTGCAGCTGAAGAAAGCATAAGGCATCAGCACAGATTTCTATTCAAAATTGCTATAGGAAAATTAAACTGGATCAAGAAATGAATGCCTCAAGTTAAACCAAGAAGGGGGAGGGGACAGGAAGAAACAAAGGATCCGGTTCACAAGACTGGCAAAACTCAAGGAACAATGACAATATTAAAACCATCTGGCACAAGATCTGTGAAAGAGCTCATCCCCCAAGGGCACAACAGGGTCTCTCGTTTGGCTCAGAGTATGTTATTTTAGATTTCAGAAGCCTCCCAAATCCTTTCCTGACTATAGTCATGTCATATTTTGTGTTGACTTTATGATGTACAAAAAATAGGGACAAGAAAGAAATCAAATTTGCATTTACTAGCAGTTAAGTATTTTCAGAATAGAAAACTAAGTTTACTCCCATATGTATGCTACAGGAGGTAGCCTAGATTTCAAAGGTGCTGCATTCAGATTGACTTCAGGCAGATTTGTGGCTCCCTCAGCATTTTGTGAAAAAAAAAAGAAATCAAGCTATTGGAAATTTGCTGCCATCTTAAAGCCTTCAATCAGAAATTTGTTTAGTGGTTCTAGAGGCTAATATGGTCTTTATTCTTTCAGGCAGGCTACTAATTAGGCCCATACACTTTTAAAAGCATCTTAACATGGATACTTCAGTGAAGCTTCATCTTAACATAAATATCCAAGCTTAAATCACAAAATATGTAACTTAAAGAAAAGCAATCCCAAAACAAGCATAGAGGAAGTATCCCTCTCCCTGATGTCTCTTCAGGTCACTAATAAATACAGCACCTTTGGATTCAATGGTTTTGAAGAAAACGAATAAGCAATACATCTGTGAGCTTGTCTTCATCCAAATAAAAGTGTCATTTAATAACCCCTTCCAAGGCAAAGTTGAAGAATATTTAATAGGGCTGTGCGAAGCTTTGATCCCTGATTCAATTTGGTGGAGATCTGGCCCGAGTCAGTGGCTGAATGTCCGAATCCAAATTGAATCAAAGGACCCTTTAATCTCTCCAAATCAAATTGGAACCCTCCAAATTGATTCGAAGAGATTTGGAAAGATACAGCAATTTGGACATTCGCAGCTTTAAATGTTTTTTCTACATGCCTCTAGGTAGCAGGGGCTTGTGAATACTGTGATGCTAGGCCAGATGGAGAGGAGTGCGGGGGGCTCCCCAGCACGCTCAACAGCAGACCCGGATCTGCTGCCAAGGTCTGCTGGAGTGTGCACTGCCCCCCCGCCCCTCTGGCTTCGCAACTCATGCTTCCTGGGTCTGGGGGGGTACCCAGGGTCCTGCCGCAGTCAATCGCCAAGCCGGGGGGGGCGGCGCGGCAGCAGGCACACGCACAGGGGAGTACTTCCAGTCCACTTCTGAGTTTGCCACTGAGCATGTGGAGGTCACCCCCTCCCCTGCTCCTGTGGGACGCTCCGCCCGCCCCAGCATCGCAGTGTTCACGAGCCCCACCTGGTACCTCCAGGTAGGTAGAAAACACATTTAAAGCTGTGTCTATGGCTGAATCATTTCTCCGAATCAGCATCGTATCTTCGAATTTGGATTCAGCCAAATAGAATCACAGACAGAGATCCGAATCAAAGAATCGAATCACTGTCCCTGATTTGGGCCGAATCCAAATCCGAAACAAACAGGGCCCACTTCGCATACCCCTAATATTTAATTGTATAAACAGGACCCCATGTATTCCATGACAACTAACTCCTGGACTAAATCATTACAGGGGCACTTGTATTAATTGTGCTCCACTTGCTCTGCCCAAAGACTCCTCTTTCCAATCCCCACACAGAGGCAGTGCATTCCATGGACAATGTTACAGCGTTCCAGCGTGCATCAAAATATGGGAACAGTGCAGAACCACAAAGACAAGAGAAATAACTGGACATAAAAGAAAACCTGTTCAGTAGTCTCCCTGCCCTTCCCACACTTTCAAGTTCTGCAACATGTAATTGGAAAGAACCCATAAAAATGAAGGTAAGTAGTTTCCAATTTTCTTTAAAAATATACAGAATTATAAAATAAACAATGTATTTCACTATTCGGTTGAGTTCTCCATGGATGCGAGTGATTTTGACTGTTTACCATTCCATTCCCCTTCCCCTATTTTTTTAATGTAGCAACTTCCACTGGTTTTCTTCCGTCTCATTGTTCTCCTCTTACCTGTATGAGACCTCATGTGTCGTGTCAAGTCTTGCAAAGACCAAAACCGCTTGTTGCACACGGTACAGACTTTCTTCCTTTTGTCTGCTTTTGTGGTACCCTTAGCCCCATCGGTCTTTGGTTTTTTGTCATCATCACTCTTCTCAGTGGACTTTCTCCCTGCACTCTCTCCCTCAGAGACGCTTTCACTCTCTTCATTTTCCTTTGCTGGTGCCTCACAGTCCACTGGAGATTCTACCACCTTTAAGTCCATCGGGGGCTCTTCCTGGTCAAGAGTGGAGTCCAGTCCTGGGGGAACTCCGGCTTCATCTTGAACACTTCTGCTTTCATCCTCACTGCTCTTTTCATCTTTTCGATCCTCATGAGTATGAGCCTTTTTGTGCCGGCCAAGAGTGCCAGCAAACTTGAAAGATTTTCCACAAACATCACAGGCATGTTTCTTTTCAGTCTGAGAGCTGCTGCCTGCACTCTGGTCACTCTCTGCCAGCTTAAAATCCATCAGCTTGCTGGCAAAATTGAGATCAAGGCTTCTGTTACTTACAGAGTCTTCCTCCGGCCCCTCTTCATACTCATCTGATTTTTCTTGTGCACCCTCTTCTCCTGGGGATGAGTCAGACTTTTGCTCCTCTTTGGGACTGCATTCATTTTCTGGTAGCTCTGTTTCTTCCTCTGGTCGATCTCTCTCACAGGAGGTCAGGTCCAGCACCTCATTTGTTGCAGCTAAAGCCTCCAGGTCCAACTGGTTGTCTGTAAGCAGAAAGAGGGAAATTTTCAGTTGGATACCTTTCACATACCCAGAACCATCCACATACCATCTCAAGGCTACATATTGATTGATCAGCATCACTCTTAATACTTCCACATGTGCATTTGCTTCTTTACAGCCAAAGCCAGTAATTACGTAACTTGAGAAGAGAGAACAGAACAGAGACATCAGAGTCTAGGCGGACTTAGGTGGTGAAGTGCAATTCTATCGCACCCTGCTTAAGTCTGTGAAAATCCCTACTGCATATACTCTTGTAACACACTTTCATCTTACCTTTCAGACTGAGTCATAAAAAGAAGAACAAAAACAACAGTGAAATGGAGGACCCATCCAGATTTCATTTGAACTGTTTTTCAGACATTTTTGCAGGGTGGAATAGCTACTAGGTCCACGTTCAGACAAGCACGGACATTGGTTCCCCAGGGACAAGTAGCAACACCACACCTTGCGCCAGTGCTGCTTGTCCCCAGGGAATGCCTGTGCCACTTGCACTCTGGCACATGGCAGGTTACCGTGGGTGGGATGGGGGAAGTTGGGACCAGCAGCAACTGTACTGGCCCCAGCAGCCTCAACTGGAGTTTTGGGGGCTGGGGAAGCTGTAGCTACAGCAGTGCTCCTGCAGCTGGGGGCCTGGCTGGTAGCCAGAGCGTGGCTCCAGTGAACTAGGCTCTGGTTTTGGGCAGTGTGCGCTGTCACCATGTGCACTGCCCAACTGTTTTGCATGTGGGACCTTCCGAGGTTAAAAAAAACCAAAAACTGGGGAACATCTGAATGTGCGGTGTGTGGCATTGCAGACAAGTCCACAGTGCCACATACTGTACGGTCACGCTCATCTGAACATGGCCTAGAAGTCTACTAAATCTTGGCCCTCAGTTTTACTGAATCACAATATAATCACTTTCAGTGTAGAACACATTACAATGAGGTACCAAAGAAGAGGGAGGAAGTTCAAAACTTTTGTAAAGGCAAGAGTACCAAACATAAACAAATATGAAACAGAAAAATGTTATGTATATGATTCTAAGCATAGGCTATGAAATCAGTTTCCATCTACTGAAGCCCATTTGCCAAATAGAGATAAAAATGATAAAAATGCAATTAATTGTTAAAGGTTATTAACAAGCTAACAGAAAAACACTCCAAGTTCCAACCATTCCAAATAAAAAGCCTCAGTCATATAAATGTACACAGGTGACAGAAGTCTGTGACAGTGCAGGATGAAGTGCCCCTTGATGAACAAGTAATTTATTACAGCATTACTTGTCAAAAAGCTAAATGCTGAAACAGACCATATCGCTTACTGATCTTCAGCCTCTGCAAAGACTAGACAAGACAGGATGAACTGTCAGGCTCAACTACAGTGAGCCATTATCAGCTTGTGTCACATTCTTGACATTGCTTATAACATGTTTTGTAATAAATGCCTCCATTTCTTTATGGGAAAACAAAGAGATATAGAGATACAGCTTCTAAAATCCAATAAAGATGGTGTATATATACACAATGGTAAATAAACCAGATGATTTAGATGCCAAAGTGGAGACAGATGCATGGAATGAAACCGCACCTATCACGCCTCTTTTTATTTAGGATTTCAGGACTCAAGCTAGGCAAAGTACATCACTGGATCTGCAGCCATCCTCATTTCAGTCCTTTTTTTTTTTTTTTTGCGCAATACAGATATAGCCCCAGCTATATGTATTCATTCAAAGTGTCACCTTTCATGTTTAGCACATATTTAGCATTTTGAGAAGACCTCTACCCATACTAGCAGCATAAACACTAAACCCACTGTTTAAGTTATCTGCAAGCAATAGCTGCTTAGTAACTATAGAGATGTAGAAATTCTGATAAGACTGTCTAGATTCTTTTCTGGTTGATGCATGCAGCACAAGTACCTTTGTCTCAGGACTACCCAGATTATGAGAGGCTTCTCTCATGGGGAGAGAGAGTAATCAAAGGGAACAATATGATAGTTATTGAGCACCTGATAGCATGAAACATGTTTTTATAATACCCCTCCCTCACGAAAATAAACATCAATTAAAGAAACATCCAAGCTAGGAAGCATTTCTAATAATTCTGTATACTTCATAGAGAATTATCCTCAAGTCACTTTTTGGAGGATGGGTGCAGAAGGATGATCTGTTAACAAGATGAAAGCTCACCTTTTAATCCTAACAAGCTGGTTTGCAAAATGTCGGTTATGCAAAGAGCCATTAAAGTTTTCAGTAGGGTTCACATCCTCCCCAACCCCCTGCCTATGAAAACAGAGGACTGAACCACATTTTTGCACGTTATGGTGAAGGATGTGGGAAGCCCTGAAAATGAAGCTCACCTGGAAGTTCCTGATAAAGCTGTCTTCAAATTCTGTATTTCAAGCATACTGTTGGCACGCACATTATATATTGTGCATTTTAAGCGTAAGGCAAAGACGCAACGAAAGACAGTAGGGCATCATCATGTAAAAATCAGACTGACATGCTACAGCACAATCATTCTAACAAACACTGCAAAATATGATACATATTAGAAACAGCAGTCATGGAAAAGGCTGTAGCAACGGAGTGTCCCATGGAATTACATGTTCAAGCTATAGGAACGCCGCACCAAAAAACCTTTCCAGCCAGTTCTAACAGCTGTTCATGAGAGCGAGGGTTAGAATTGGGAGACGCCAGAACGTAGAACTCGAGTTAGAATGGGCACAAGCCATAATGCAGCAGAAGCGCTGGTACCTGGATCCTTTTTAATTGACACATTTTGAAAACGTGGCTAAAAGTAAGTCTAACCACGACTTCTAGTTTTGATATGGTACTTCAAAGATTACTACACTCACAAGTTCCACAGTAGCAAGGACCGTGTCATGTCCATTTTGCCCCCTCCTACACTCATCCTGACATATCTTTTTTATTGTAACATGGCCTATTTTGCTGAGGACCTGTCCCCAGGAAAAGAGCTCCAACTATGGCCATGAACCACATAATGGATAACAGATACAGTTGAGAGTAGCAACAGTAAGGAATCAGTGGAACAGGTTCTTGAGTACAGGCTATGGTTACTACAATCTCTAAGAGAATCAGAAGGGAGAGGGCTTTTCTATACAATGATTCTGAAAGAGCATGAGTACAGAAAGTGGCCTAAGATCGATGCCACATCCCAATAGTGACAGTGGGATGGAAGCCACAGACAGACCCTCTGCAAGATGGCTGTTATCTCCAATGTTTCCAATGGCTTGAAGTCACACCATCCTCAGGAAAGGTGGCAACCCTGTTAGTCATCACATGAGGGCCCAGCAAGAAACAGAAAGGTATGCGAGTCCCAGGAACGGGTTAGGGAACAGGACAAGGAACCAAAGAATGAGAGGATGAGCAAACACAGAACCAAAGAGCGTGCAAGGGCACCATACCTTGGGGGAGGAGGCGGGGAAAAGGGAAGCACTGGGGAGACCGGGAGGCAGATGCAGATCAGCAACAGCATTTCATGAACTCGGCACAGCCCGTGCAAAAAGAACAAACATGGCAAGGTATATTACTATGCATTTGCTACCTCCTCCCTGAAGAAACAGCAGGGGCAAAAGAGAGCATCAGGGACATGAAACCCCAGAGAGAACCAGCCTCCAAGAGGGGCTGGACCCTGAAATGTTCCATTTTGGTCAGAAAAAATACCCACCCAGCCATATTGCAGTTAAGTTATACCTGTGAACAAAGGGACACAAGGTAATTTACTGGGCCTCCTTCCCTTTTTTTCTTGGCTCTACTTTTCTTCATCTTGACATCTTTTTTAGCACTGCCTTCCCACTGCTTTCTTTTTTATGCGTTTTCCACATTTCAATTTGTTTCCCACCCAAACCCTGATCTATTTGTATGTTTTGGTTTTTTTCTTTACCCCTTCATCCTCCCCACTCCTCACCCCATGGCTCTTGGGACAAGGGGAGTGGGGGGAATGATGAGTCCATAATCAAAGTCTTAAATACAGGACAACTAATCCCACGGGTGGGTAGATTATATTTGAAGGAGTCACCCTACAAGCACAGATAGTTGTGAGGGATGGGGAAGAAGACCTTGTAAGCGTGAGTAAACAGCTGATCAAGCTAGGCAAATCTGCAGTTCCAAGACTAAGTAAGTCCAGTCACAGTTTTAAACATAAAAGCAAAGTTAGGAACATATTATGAGAGAGACTGGAGCAATGCATTTTTCAACAGCTGAGCTGGACCAGCACTGTATTTTTAGGAACAATTTCACTGGTCCATTATGAAAACTCCTGCAAGTCGCACGACAGCACTTCTGAGTCCCCGAATGATCAGCTATACCCCTTGGGGTTGGTTTCCCAGCTGGCAAAGACCCCACCTTTTCTGCACAATACCCAAGTAACTGGAAACAGGTGAGACTCCAACCCTGTTCAGCCGTAGGCAATCTTGAACAGCAGCCCTTGACTGTCCTCCACTGGGGGTTCTGGCTATGGGAAACATGGCTAGCATTTCCCTCATGACAGTCATTTTAGATTTGGCACAAAAGCTCCTTCATTAGAGCACAGGAGTCACAAGCCTTCTTCTCTCCAACACGTGCTTTCATCCTTTCCAAATGAATTTATTCTGTGCCTACAACAGTAGGTTGGGCCCCCGAAATTCTAGCACCCTTGTGGCCGACACCAGCTTGCCACTTGAGCACAGGTACACCTGACTGCTTTTACTTGTGCTGTGCATCCTCAACTGAAGAGCTGGATTACCAGAACATACCATACACCACCAGTACCATTGTTGTATCTCTCTGGAGTCCACCCGCATTGACATTTTGATGGTGGACACACACACAGTATATATATGGGCTGAGTGCTAGTGTAATTTGAAGAGATGGCTTTATTTAGCTGACAGAAAGGCTGGGTTTTGTCAGTTTACAGCATGTGTGGAGAGCACACAAACTTTTGGTGACAAATTCTGTTTAGTATCATATAAACAGCGCCTGAACTGGTAGAGAGTCTTGGC